CCCATTAAACGGTCTTGGGACCTTTATTGAAAATCAGTCCAGCATGTGTGTGAGTGTTTATTTCTGGTCTCTCTGTTGTGTTCCATTAGTCTGTGTGACCTTATACCAGTATTACACTGTCTTAATTACCACAGTTTTGTAGTAAATTTTGAAATTAGGAAATGTGAGTCCTCCAACTATGTTCTTCTTTTTCAAGATGTTTTTGGTTACTTGGGGTCCCATGAGAATCCTTAGAAATTGTAGAAAGATTATATTAATCTCTGCAAAAATGCCAGTGAGATTTTGGTAAGGATTACATTGAATCTGTAAATTGCTTTGGATAGTGTTTTCATCTTAGCAATATAAAATGTTTCAACCCATGAATACATAGTATTTTCCCCTCAGCATCTTTATATTCTTATAGCAACATTCGGTAATTGTTGATAATTGATGCACAAGTCTTTTGTCTCCTAGATTAAATTTATTCTTAATTATTATTGTTGCTATTTTGAATGGAGTTGTTTCCTTGATCTCCTTTTCATTGTTGGTGTTTAGAAACACATGTGATTTTTGCATGTTGATTTTTGTATCCTATAATCTTGATGAAGTTATTCATTAGCTCTAGAGGGGTGTTTTTGTAAGTGTGTGTGTTTGTAAGTGTTTGTAACTGTTAGGGTTTTCTGCAGATGAGATCATGTCCTCTGTGAACAGAGATAACTTTAGTTCTTCTTTTCCTGTTTTCCTTTTTCGCTCGATGGCCCTGGCTAGAATTTCCTGTCGCTCGCTCAATAGAAGTGATGAAAGGATCATATGTACCTCGTTTGTGATCTTAGAGGGAAAAGCTTTCCATCTTTCATCACTGAATTTGATGTTAGCTTTCGGTTTGATACATCTTATCGGAGGCCAGTTAATCCAAACCTTTTGCTATGTCTAACTATGGTTTTCTTTTCCCTAAGAACCTACTCGACAGAGCTTATGGAATATATATTTTTCTGGCTGAGAAGCAAGTCCATCTGGTAGAGTCTTTCAGAGGTGACATTTAGGTAATAAAACTGACATATTTAAAATTTTCAGCATTCTTAACACCCACTAAATTTGAAACTTAAGGGGAAAGTCATATGTTTCTGTTTGCTGAAAACATCCAGGAGTTCCTGAAGGCCTGTGCAGTAGGGCAAGCGAGACATACCGAGTGAGCTGGGGAGAGAGCGGGCAGTGCCAGCACGAGGAGGCAGGGGCCTCGGGGCAGCCTGATGGTGGAGGGCGCAGAGAGGGTCCTCTGGGGCCAGGAGGACACTGACCCCTCCCCTCGGCCGTCGGGAGTGGGTGGCCCCAGGAGGGTGAGGCTGCAGTCGGGCGGAAGGCGGGAGGAGTGTTGGGGAAGGGCCGGGAGGTGGGCAGACCGTGCAGGCAGGCTGAATGGTGGCCGATGGAGCCGTCAGGCCCCTGCGGCCGTGTGTTTGTGGTGGGGAGGCCCGAAGAGGCATCCCAGGTCCTGGGGTCCTGCTGTCAGTGCTTGGGGTGACGAGGTCACGGCTGTCTAGTGACACTGCCCATGCATGTGTGCGTATAAGGAGACGGAAGGAGTTGGCTCCACTGATAGTCTGAGGGGCAAGTCAGATCCATGGGGCAGGAGTTCGCTGCAGCCTTGAGGCCAGATTCTCTCTCCTCCAGGAAACCTGGAGTCTTTGCTCCTTTACGGTCTTTGCCCTCAAGGCCTCCAGCAGATGGGATGAGGGCCACCCCGCTGTGCTCGGGAATTCGGGCCAAGTGACTGCAGATGTTACCATGTCTCCAGAATGCCTTTGGAACAAACCCACTTTGGAGTCTGGTCAAAGGGCTGGGTGGTAGAGCCGGGACAGAAGGGCACGTGAGACTGACGACCACGGGGCGGGTTGGCTCACGGAGCTGGGGGAGCCTGGAGGCCTGCGGGCCGCGGTTTTCTGCGCAGGCTGCCGGCAGGCCGCCAGCCTCACCCGTCTTGCTCTGGGGACGAGTTCTCCCCCTCACCCCCCCACCCCTGCCATCTTGTTATCACCAGGTCTCCCCAGCCCAGCGGCCTCTCCTGGGTCATTCTTGCATTTCTGTGTTGATTTAAAGAATCCCAGAGACCTTGTGGAAAACATAAATGACTTGTGGTAAATGTTACAGGTTTAGGATGCTTCTGTTCCTCTTAGCTATGATGACAGTTGGCTGGTGTTTTAAGAATTTGGGGTCTGTAATTGTTTTCTAGAACCACCATAACAAAGAACCAGAGACTCGGCGGCTTAAACAGCAGGACTTTGTTTTTTCGTAGCTGGAGGTGGGGTACCTGAGGTCCAGGTGGGGCGGGGCCGGGGCCGGGGCCGCTCCCCTCCCCCTCCCCCTGGCATGCGTGTGTGCGTGTGTGTGTGTGTGTGTGTGTGTGTGTGTGTGTGTGTGGCTGCCTTCGCCCCTTCCTCTTGTGGTCCTCCGCTGTGTGCATCTGTGTCCTCATCTCTTCTGTTGGATTCAGGTCCGCAGTAATGCCTCATTTTAGCTTAGTTACCTTTTTAAAGACCTTTCCTCCAAAAACAACATTCTGAGGATCCTAGATGTTAAGGGCGTCAACATATGACTTTGGGCCAGGGGACACAGTTCGACCCATAACTGGATCTTACTCTGATGTTTTTGCTGTTTTGACTGGTGACATTAATATCCCTAGGGCTCCCCTGGTGGCTCAGTGGTGAAGAATCCAAATGCAATGCCAGTGATGCGGGTTCGATCCCTGAGTCAAATGGAAGGGATTGGCTACCCATCTCAGTGGTCTTACCTGGAGAATTCCACAGACAGGGGAGCCTGGCGGGCTGCAGTCCATGGGCTTGCAAAGAGTCGGACATGACTGAGCGACTAAACTATAATAAATTAATATCCCTAATTTTATGCCCTGCCTAAATCATTCAGTTTTCCTCTGAGAAGCTTCTGTGAGTCTTTTAATTCTGCTTCTGGAAGATTGAGCCTGTGAGTTGAAGGAGAAACCTGAAATGTGAGGAGCTCTGTCCTGGGAGGCTTTCTGGGGTTTCTGATCTTGCCCAGTCTGTCCTCTGTGTCCTGCGTTCCATCCTAACCTTCCTGTCTTGGCTCATTCTCTCTGTGGACTGTTTACGGTGCTTCTGTAATTTCTTTTCCGTAGGTTTTCTTTCCTACATGTCAGTTCTGATGTGAAGGCTCCCAGCATCTGTCTTGGGTAGATCTTTGAAGGCTCCCAGCATCTGTCTGTCTGTCTTGGGTAGATTTGCCTGCAGTCTTTCTTCCGGTCCCCTTTTTTTTTCCTGATTTTCTAACTTTTCATTAAGATAAGTGAACCACTTTTCTAAATTTTTCCTCATTTCTCTCAAAGTAAAGCCATTTCAGGGAAATAAGTCCTTCCAGGCCCCAGAGGATTAGATGAGGAAACGGTTTCTCAGCTCTGGTTCCTGGTTTGCTGGTCACCAAGGCTCCGGCCACCATTCACTGAAACGCAGCCCGAGCTGAGCCGTCTACTTGAAGGGGACGCCGGACATCCGCCTGTGTCTCGGGGAACCTGTGGGCAGAAGGGTCCCTCCAGGTGGCCCAGGACAAGGGTGGCTGTTGGAACTGTCTGGCTTTCCCTCATTCAATGGGGTGAGGACCCCTTTGGGAGTCCTGTCTCTGTGGATGTGGCTGCGGAAAGCCTGTTGGGGACTCAAGTCCTGCACAGTCAGTGTCTCTCTGCCGGCGCTTCCTGAGGGTTTTGCCGCAGAGCAAGCCTCTGTCTCTAGTAAGCACATGGTTCATTTGTGGGGAGTTGAGACCAAGGAGGGGCATTTACAGCCCTGTGTGGCTTATGGAAAGAGGGCTGTGAGCCCATCGTGTGGCCCAGGAGCCCAGAGTGGATATTGACTGAACCATCATGGGTGGTGGTGATTGGTGAGGGACAGTCCAAAGGGCCTTCCTGGAGGAGGTGGCCCCTGAGCTCAGTCTTATAGGGCCGTAACACTTGTAGCGGCCGACAGAGCTCAGAACAACACTCTTCTTACTTCTGATGATTTCTGAGAGAGAAGAATGGTGTGAGGGATCTTTCTGACCCGAGCGCTGGTTCCTTTCTCCTCCTGCTGCAGTCCAGAGTATGACTTGTAACAGTCTTCTGTCTTCATGGAAATGAAACTCTGACTTCTGCTGAGATGTGTGCTGCAGAAAGCTGTGTTAGATGGCCTCTGGTCTGTGAGTGTCAGGTGGTGGGTCCCCATGCAGACTAAGCTGCTGTGCCCGCCTTGCTTCTGTCCCCCACCCCCCGTCCTCTGCATTGCTGGGGGGGTGGGTTTTGTCAGGGTCAGTTCTGGAACTCTCATGGACCATCCTGTATGGATCAAACCTATGGTCTGTGCCGCAGGAGATTAAAGAGAAAGCTGGGATCTTTCTTCCCTGCCTGTCTGGGGCTCCTTGTTGGAGCCGAGTGTGCACTTTCACGGAGCTGAAGTCGCTCTGGCACTCCCAGAAGGTGGCACGTCTCACATCCGTTCCAGAGGCCGCAGCTGTGAGCAGTGTTCTCCCAGGCGGTCCCTGCAGGGAGCGTGTTGGGTCTGTGTGTGGTGGTTTGATGCTGCTGAGAGGGTGCCTCCTAGGGTTAGGGTTAGGGTTCTAGGCTGTGGGTGGTGCTCAGAGGACCCCAGCAACACCCGCCCCGCCTCCCCACAGGCTGAGCCTGTGCTGCCCGCAGTATGAGAGAGTCCTCAGGCTGCTTTGTAACTGCCAGGGGAAGAAGGGTCAGGTGACTCATGGGGCCTGCTAAGCGGGCGGCACTCAGTTCTCTGTGGGGCTCACCCCTCTGAGCACCTCTGCCCAACAGGCCCTGTGACCACAGGTCAAGCTTCTGGAGTTGGGGCCAGTCCCCTGACTCGCCCAGGATTCAGGTGGTGTCCAGGTCAGCCCCTTGCCCCGAGCCCCTGGAGAGCAGCGGGCCTGCCGTCTGTCTGGGTTTCTCACAGTCTGTCTCTGTTCCAGGTCCGGTGCAGTCCATGTGGTTTGAAGACCGCGGGAAGGAACCGATGGCTTTAGCAGGCGGCACAGATTCCTTCCTGCACCATCCGTACTACCAGGTAGGGGGTCGCAGACGGCGGGCTCTGACAGCGGTGCTGGCCGAGGGCCAGGGCGCAGGCAGCGCTCATAACCTGCCCGCCCATCACTGGCAGATGAGTAAGGAGGTGCTGCGTGGGGCTGTGGACGCATCCGGCACGTCTGCACGGCCTTGCTTCCTTGCTCTGGGAGAGTTCATCTCTATGGCCACGGCATCCTTCTCTGCAGGGTTTTCATTGAGGTGTACACTTGCCCACAATGAAGCAGGCCCTGTGTTGTTCCCTGCTGGGCCCTAAAACTCCAGATGGCGAGTGGGAGTGGTGGCAGGCATTGGGCTGCTGAAGGAGAGACAGGAGCTTACGGGGCGGGAAGTGGGACGGAGGAGCTTCTTGGCCTGGCAGTGACCTGCCTGTCACAGGTGGGGCCCTTCTCACCCTGAGAGCGTCAGGCAGCCTTCGTGGGGGAGTGGGTGTCCCCCAAGCCCCTCTGCAGGGGCTCTGTCAGTTTCCTGTATGTGTCTCCTGAGGCAGGTTTCCGCTGAACTTTTGCTTTATGGTGTGGATGGGCACATTGGATCCTTAGATCTTTGGATTGAATAAGAGAATTTGCATTTCTCCTTACGAGCCTTACAGCACATAAAGCACTTGAATCATCTCTTGGCCTCCAGTTCCCAGCAGGGTCTTAAGTTTTGAAGTCCCTTGATCTGATGTTTGCACTTTTATGAGCTGGTCTCTCTCTCCCTTCGTCTGTGACATCCTGTTTAGCTGTGGTGATGATTATTTGCATATAGCATCATGGCTGCAGAGAGGTGTCTTTTTGATTTGTGTGCGTGTGTGTGTCATAGAGAAACAGGTCTTGGAAGAGAGACTGGAGACTAGGAATAGACTGGGAACAGGATCCGCTGTAATCACTGGATTTGAGACAAAGCCACCATCAGTTTCAAGTGAGAAAAGAGGAGCAAGCCTCAGTAGAGCTGTGACGTGTGCTGCTGACCCCGGGCGTGCTCAGTGGGTGAGCTTTTCCAGGCCCTGTCCTCGCCTCCTGCGGGACTGTTTGCTTGGTCTTAAAAAGGCCAGGTTGCCTCACCCTGTTGATTGACACTCTAAGCTGCCTCCGCGGGTCATGCTTTCAACCCTCACTTGGCCACAGCTTTGGCCGATTGTCACCCAGCCTACTTCCTTACACTTGGCACCAGTGCTCCCAGGAAAATGGGATCTTCAGGAGCAGCCTTCCCCCGGGAAATAGGCCTGAAAGTTCGCTGAGTGTTCTCTCCGCTGGTCACCGAGCAGACCGTAAGGCCTCAACAAGGCACAGGGAAGGATCCGCCTGAGGCCCGCTTAGCTCATCGCCCTGGCATCTCAGACTTCCTTTGGTCCAGGCGGAGACGGCAGCGCTGCCAGCTGCAGCTGGTGCCCGGCTTCTCAGACTTGTGAGGTGTTTGTAGTCAGCGTCCCAGTTGCCCGCGGCTCTCTGCAGGAGCCAGAAGGAGGCGGCCGCACCGTGGGCCTGCCAGCAGACCCTGTCGACCCGGGGAGAAGTGCTCGGTCACGCTGTTGAGTGGCTTCCGCAGGCGCTGTTGCGCTCTTGTGAGTCCGGCAGGCCGGCTTGGCAGCTCTTATCCTGTGTTCCTGGAAAATCAGCTGACAGTTCCAGAATTTCTCAGAACATGGGATGATTTACAGTGCGTTCAGTCTTGAGTAATATGTCGTTAGAGCAAAGAGATAAATCTCCAAGTTTTTATAGAGAGGAGTTTCTTTGTACGATCTTCAGCAAACAAGCAATGTTCTCATTCTGGCTGCTCAGCCATCACTGTGGCTTTTGGGTTAGGTGCGGCTTCAGTAAGTCAGCCGCCGTGCAGTCTTTTCTGGACCCAGAAGCACCAGGAGGACTTTGTATATTTAACTAGGCTGCTTCCTGCTTCAAAGACGTTGGCATCAGGTTGGTGGGCCTGGTGGGGGCCTGGTAGGGGGGAGGTGAAGGGCTTCTCTCCGCAAAGCTTTGAGCTGTGGTGTTGTAGGTCTGTGGCCTCCGGGGAATGATGGGATGCTTCAGGGGCCCTGCTGGTGGAAAGGGTGAGTGACGTCAGGGTGCTGTGGGACCGGAGGAAGGGTGTGGGGTATGCCCAGTAAGGGGCCAGCCCCGTCTCAGGTGCCCACCCTGGCTGGTTACCAGAATCCCTTGGTGTTGACTGAACACCAGCCGGGTCCCATGTCAGCGCTGGGTGCAAGCTCTCCTCCAGCAGATTCACTCCTGGGGCTCCTGACTCCTGGTGAGGGAGACAGTCCCGGGGAAACTGGTATATGAGATCCTTGTGAGTAATGATGGTGATTCTTAAGCAAGTAGAACAGGACAGTGGGGGAGAGATGCCAGGAGGTCAGGGAGGCCCCCGCCAGGGTATGCCTGGAGCTGGGGACGATACTCTGGCCTGGCAGAGCCTCTCCAGGGCCAGCGCACCTGGCCTGCAGAGCCAGGGACGGGAATGGATGTCTGTCACTCAGGAATGAGAGGTCTTCAGTGTTGGTGATTTAGTGGCTCCGTTGTGTCCAACTCTGTGCGACCCCATGGAACCCTCCAGGCCCCTGTGTCCCTGGGATTCTCCAGGCAAGAATACTGTGGCGGGTTTCCATTTCCTTCTCCAGGGGATCTTCCCGACTCGGGGATCAAACCCACATCTCCTGCACTGCAGGCGGATTCTTTACCAACGGAGCCACCAGTGGAGCCTGAGAGGTCTTTTAGGCTTTTTACATAAAGGCCCACAGCCTGCAATTCTAAACTCTCCAAACCAAGAAGTTTCTTTGCTTCTCATGTGTCAGAGAATCCAGCCTGATCACTCAGGACTGGGTCCCTTAGGCATGTGAACGGGCTTGGTGACAGGGCCGCCCTGGACCCTGTGTCATCTTTCTCAAGTCCAGACCATTCTTAATTTCCAGCTGTATCCTCCAGGGTGTTGACAAAGGGATTATGCACCTATTATGAGATGTATTTTATTTATTTATCATACATAAAACAACATTTGCTGTGCTTCAAAACACACACACACACACACAAAAGACTGCTAGAAAATAGAATGAATAGAATGTTGAGCTGTTATGTAGAAACAAGATTCTTAAATGTAAATTTGAGATAAGATGTTAAGATTATTGGCACATCTCCAGATATTTAATCCAAATATTTATTTCTAAAAGTTTATTTTATAACTTTTTTCCTGATTTTTGATTTGAAAACACATCCACCTGTGTTCGAAGTAAAATGTTGTAGAAGCTGTCCTTGTGATCTTTCTCCAAAGACTCTGTTTGCTAGTTGTTGTTGTTTAATTGCTAAGTCATGTCTGACTCTGATCCTATGGGTTGTAGCCCACAAGATCCCTCTGTCCATGGGATTTTCCAGACAAGAATACTAGAGAGGGTTGTCATTTCCTTCTCCAGGGGATCTTTCCGACCCAGGGATCAAAGCTGTGTCTCTTGTATTAGCAGGCGGATTCTCTAGCACTGAACCACCAGGGAAGCCCCTGTTTGTCAGTAGAGCGTAGAAAAGCAGCCTTCTGTGACGCCTTCTCTTCCCCTCCTCCTCTGTTTGTAGGGTAATTTCATAAATGCTGTCCCAGCCCCACGTCTCTGCAGATTGCTTCCTTGGCCCCATTTCAGTTGTACATTCCTGAGCCTTCTGACAAGGCGCCTCCCTTTGCAGGGCAGAGGTTGGCAAACCACAGCCTGTGGGTCATATCTAGCCCCTGCCTGCTTTTGTAAATAAAGTTTTATCAGAAAACGGCTATACTCATTTGCTTACATCTTGTCTCTGGTTGCTTTGGGGCCTCACCAGCAGAGCTGAGCAGAGCCTGGCCCTCCGAAGCAACTCCTATTTTAGGATGGTGATTAGTGATAGGAGTTCTGGGCCGACGGAGACCAGAGTGGGCCCCCTTGTACCCGCCTGTGACCCCCTTCACTGTGGGGGCAGCAGGAGCAGCACGCAGCCTGAGCGTGAGCCTGAGCGTGAGCGTGAGCCTGAGCCCTCGCTTGCCAGTCACACAGCTTTGAGCCTGTGGCTGTGTTCACATCCGGTTCCTGCCTCTGGAGAAGCCGGACGGTGTCATCTGTCATGCTCTGGATTTGGGGTCGTTCTCTGGAATTAATTCTGTTCCCAAGTTGGTCAGTGTCACTATTTTTTTTAGCCAGAGTCATCCTGTGGCTTCTTTGTGTTTTATCTTACACACGTGTATTGGCAAAGAGATCGTTTCATTGGACTATATTTTCTTTAAGAAATCTGTGGACAGTTCCTTCCACTTGCCATGGTGGGAGAGACGGATGCAAGGATGACTTGAGACCTCACTTATTTTTATTTTATGAGACTCTTCCAGTAGATAGGACTTTCATCTAAAGTGGTGTTTGTAAATCTTTGGAGATTATTTCTGGATTTAGTGACAACCACTGTTTAGTAGAGATGTTTTTTGTGAGGTGAAGCTGGCGACTGGTGAATGCAATGATGATACAGTCTGAGTGGCTGGACCGGTGGGGACCCTGCATTATCTCTTCAGGGAACCTGACCCTCAACCCTCAGTGGAGGCTGGGTAATGGGGAAAGGATTCAGCACTTCTGTTGACTTGTCTTGGGTTCTCTTCTTTTACCTTCCACCAACCACTGGAGACACAACCTTCACAGCTTCAGGATACCCATTTTACAGACTAGAAAACCAACTCACTCACTGTGCACTGGTTCTCAAACCAAGGACTTTACTTGGATTTTTCTAAGTAGGAGTCTTGCCACAACTCTGTGAGGTGAGTCTCTTTTACCTTCCACCAACCACTGGAGACACAACCTTCACAGCTTCAGGATACCCATTTTACAGACTAGAAAACCAACTCACTCACTGTGCACTGGTTCTCAAACCAAGGACTTTACTTGGATTTTTCTAAGTAGGAGTCTTGCCACAACTCTGTGAGGTGAGTCCTTCGTGTTCTCCCCTTTTCAGATGAGGATTGCGAGGCAGGGAAGGCCGTTACCCCATCAGGTGACGGCTGTGTTTTTCT